CCTTCCCCTGCTCATGCCGCTGCCTCTGCTCCTGCAGCTGCCCCTGCTCCTGCCACCACCCTTACTCCGGTCGCGCTTGTTCCTACCACTGCTGCCACTGATGCCGCTTCTGCTTCTGCTAATTCTGCTGCTGCTGCTGCCACAGGGCAGCAGAATGCAGAGAACTTCCCTGCAAGGGTGGTGCTGCAGCGGCAGTGCAATGCCAGAGGAGTTTCCGGTGCTGCCGACTGTGATGGCCGTGCTGGCACTGCTACTGCTGCGGCTGCGGCTGCTGTTGATTGTGCTGCTGGTGCTGGTAATGCTGGTGCTGTCTGTGCTGTCGGGACTGGTGGTGGCGGTGGTGGTGGCAGCAGTGGTGGTGTTGGACAGTCAGAGGGAGTGTTGAGGGAGGGCGAGATATTGGAGCTAGTGCCATATGGTCTTGCCTACCGCTTTGCCTTTGCTGCTCCGGCTGCTTCTGCTTCTGCTACTGCTGCCACTGCTGCCACTGCTGCCACTGCTGCCGCTGCTGCCACTGCTGCCGCTGCTGCCACTGCTGCCAGTGCTGCCGCTTCCACTGCTGGCACTAGTGGTACTGCTGTTGGACTTGCCACTGGTGGTAATGATGACGTGGCAGCATGTGGATGCAGGAAGGAGAGAAAAGAGTGAGTTTAAATCGTGTGATGATGGTGCGACCCTCTTTTTTTTTTTGGGCCCGGAGTGACAAGTGTGCCATGCCTTCCTCTCCTTTTATCTGCGTGACTAAGATAGCAAGAAACAAACGGTCCTTGTTTTATTTGCATTCAGCAGTGCATGATGCCATGATGCCAACAGGAAGCACCTGTGGGTTCGGTTACTGAGGGTGGGTGGGTACATGGCATGGTTGGGAAAAAGGTGGGAAACTACATGAAAAGAGCCAGACAAGTGAATATAGGAGGCAGGAGCAGAGGTGTGTATATTTGAGGTTCCTCACTCCAGCCTCCCTCACTCCCACTTTCCCTCTCCCCCTTGCTCTTACCATTTGACCTCCCCTGCTGCCAGGCGTCTCTCTGCTGCTGCCTCCCCTGCCTCCTTCCGCCTCCTCCACGCACCGGGCCTGCCCCGCCATGCCAACGTTAGTTTAGGCGCCTCAAAAGTCAATCTCTCCCTCTCTCCCACCACTTGACATCCCCTGCTGCTTGCCAGGCGTCTCTCTGCTGCTGCTTCCCCTGCCTCCTTCCGCCTCCTCCACACACCGGGCCTGCCCCGCCACGCCAACGTGGATTCCGTATCCCTCTCCGACCTTTTCCTGGTGATAATGAATTCGTGCTGAGATGTGATGTTCCAACATCGTGCCGAAGCGCCTCAGAACACACGTGCTCTGCCCTGCCGCGCCAACATGAATTTTCTCCGTATCTCTCTCCGACCTACTCCAGGTGAGAATAAACTGTTGCTGATACGAGACGTCACAAAATACACCTGGTCTGCCCTGCCACACCAGCATGGATTCTTTATCCCTCTCAGACCTTTTCCAGGTAATAACAAATTTGTGTTCAGGCGTCTCAGAAGACACCCTGGCCTGCCCTGCCATGCCAACGTGGATTCTGTATCCCTCTTCAACCTCTACCAGGCGTCTCAGATGGGCCCCCTTGGTCACTCACCCTTGTGCCTCCCCCACCCGCCCACCCACCTCGCTGCAACCCGCTCTTCTGCTCGTCTCTTTTCGTCACCACACGCGTGCCTCATTCTCTCCTTTTGGAATGGACTCCTCATGTTCTTCCCCCATTCTCCTTGCCCCATTCTCCTCCCCCCATTCTCCCCTTCCCGTTCTCTGCTCCTCCCTCCATTTCCCCCCTGTTTTTCTCCCCTTTTTCCTCTTAAAGCCTGTCAATGGAGAGCCTCTAGAGTGGGCGATCATTTGCAACTATATGGTGGACCTGGAGTGGCTTATACAGGGTACGGTGGGGTTTTCATTTCATTGCTACAGGAGCGAGTTGTTATCACTGTCTCTTACTGTTCTATTCTCTTCTCATCTATTCTATACCAGTTCATCAGGTAATCTTAAGCTCTGCTGTACTTCTGTAACGTGCCACTACCGCCACATGCACCATGCACAACTGACTGACTGTCACTTGAGGCGCCTTAAGAAGTTGCGCTGCTCTATGAAGTTGTTGTCTAGCCGTGTTATTCCACACTGCAGCGCCAATTTTGAGAACTCCCAAAAGTGAGAATTTTCAGAGGTTGTTGTCGTGCTGCGGGTTACCCACACTGCCGCGCCAATTCAGCTCACCATGCTAAACACACCCACCGCACACAGCCACCCGCCTCACACCTGAAGACTGCCCCCCCCTCTGCTTAACTTACCCCCCCCTGAGGCCGTGCCTCCATGCAGAGTGCCCAGTGCTGCTGACCGTGCCGCGGGTGGTGCTCATGCATGGAGAGAGGAGCGACGCTGTGGCTGCATGTGAGGTGCCTAAAATGCTCCCTTATTCTCTGCTCCCTCCTCTGCTCGCCTCTCTCTTCTTTCCCCCTGTGGCCATGTCTCGAAGCAGAGTGCCCTGTGCTGCTGACCGTGCCGCGCGTGGTGCTCATGCATGGAGAGAGGAGCGACGCTGCCGCTGCTGCCATGCAGGTGGGTGGCTGTGTGATGGGATTTACTTTGAAGGATTTACTCAGCTGTGTGGGCGAGTAGTTTTTGAGTGGACTCAAAAAGGCAACCCTTCTGTTGCCGTGCAGGTGGGTGGGTTCTTCATGCTCCTCCAATTCCCCTTCTCCCCCACAACAGGCCATGCTCCCCCCTCTTCCCCCTCTTCCCCCTCCCCCCCTCCCTCCCCCCGCCCCTCCCAACAGGCCATGCTCCCCCTGTCTTTCCACCTGCACCGCCCCCCTCTTCCTCTCCCCTTCGGCACACACCACACCAAGGCATTCCTGCTCGGTCGCCGCGCCTCCCTCTCTCTCATCATCCACACAGCCAACCTCATTGCTGTTGACTGGCAATAAAAGTCTCAGGGCCTCTGGCAGCAGAATTTCCCCCCGGTAAAAAGGGTTGCTGATGCGGTTCAAGGCCCAGGGCCTACGGCAGCAGAATGGCAGCAGACAAAGGCTCCCTCCTGATTTAGACTATACTTGAAGCGCACGCCTCAATAAGTCGTTCACAGGTGGTTCACGCCTCAAAGAAATTGTTCCCCCTCGCTCCCCCCTCTTCCCCCTCCCCACCTTCCCGTTCCCCCACCCCAACAGGCCATGCTCCCCCCGTCTTTCCACCTGCACCGCCCCCCTCTCCCTCTCCCCCTTGGCACACACCACACCAAGGCGTTTCTCCTCGGCCGCCGCTGCTCCCTCTCTGTTATCATCCACACAGCCAACCTCATTGCTGTTGACTGGCAGTTCAAGTCCCAAGGGCTATGGCAGCAGACAAAGCCTCCCTGGTTCAGACTATGCTTGAGGCGCCTCAAAAGCTGTTCATAATTGGTTCAAGCTATTCGTTCTCCCTTGCTCCCCCCCACTTCCCCCTTCCCCCCCTTCCACAGGCCATGCTCCCCCCATCTTTCCGCCTGCACCGCCCCCCTCTCCCTCTCCCCTTTGGCACACACCACACCAAGGCCTTCCTCCTCGGCCGCCGCTGCTCCCTCTCTGTTATCATCCACACAGCCAACCTCATTGCTGTTGATTGGCAGTTCAAGTCCCAGGGCCTCTGGCAGCAAACGTTTCCGGTTAAGAGAAGGGGATGCGGAGGAGTGGAAAGAGATGGAGGAGGGGTGGAGGAAAGTGGGAAGGGATGCGGGGAGATGGTTTTGGGTAAGAGGAGGAGATGTGGAGAAGGGGTGGAGGGGAGTGGAGAGGGATGGGAGGGGATGGGTTCGGTTGGAAAGAGTGTGTGTGGGGAAAGGGGAGTGGAGGGGAGAGGGGCGAGAGATGAGGATGGGAGGACGTGGGGAGGGGAGGGGAGTGTTGGGGAGGGGAACGGGAGAGATGGAGGAGGGATGCAGGAAGGGGCCGCAGGGGCAGCAGACAGGAGCTGTTGTTGCTGTTGCTGTTGCTGCTGCTGCCCGGGAGAAGGAAATAGAGAACAGGAAGGAGCGCGTACAGATGCAGCGGAAACAGCAGCAGCAGAGACAGAAGCTGCAGCAGCGGAGTGTTTAGAAAGTCACGGGGAGGAGTTTGAGGATGATTTAGTGCGATACTTTGGATCCCTGGGATGGAGGGGATGCAATGTGGTGGTGACGAGTGATGGGGGCGAGGAGGGGGTGTGGGAAGAGGGGAGCGAAGGAGGGGGAGGAGAAGGGAGAGGGAGTGGAGATGCAGGAAGGGCGAGGAAGGCAAAAGGGAAGGGGAAGGTGCAGGAGCGGCAGTTCTGGCTAGATGCCGAGTACCTTCGACGATACGACTTCTTGTCTGCTGCTGTGAGTGCTGCCCCTCTAACTTTCCTCTGTTTTGGTAATGTTATGAGAGGGACTGCAGACAGGGATGCAGGAGGACAGGGGGACATGGGGACAGGGGGACAGGGGGACAGGGGGGCAGGGGTGCAGGGGTGCAGGGGGCTGGGGATAAGGGAGCAGGAGGACAGGAGGAGGGGTGGGGGGAGAGGAGGCGAGGGAGGAGAGGGAACAGGTTTACAGGTAGGTAAGCGAGGGATGACAAGGAATAGTTCTATCTCTGTCTTTTCTGTCCTAGTCGAAGCTTGATTCCCTATTCATCACATCCCCACCTCCAGGCTCCTATAGGTGGTAAGACTGCGGAGGAGATTTTCTAGGTGTGAAGTTCGACTTTCACACTTTTGAGAATCAAGAGACCCTTCTCTCTCCACACTTCCCCTCCTGTTCCCGATATCCACTTGCTTTCCGTGCAACGAGAGGCGCAGGTATCGCTGGTAGCATCTGTGCCAGGGTACCATGCGGTCGACGCTCTCCCATCCCAGCAGCAACAGCAGCAGGTGTGAAGATTGACTGTCACACTTTTGAGACTCAAGAGACCTTTCTCTCTCCACACTTCCTGTCCTGTTCCCGTTTTCCCACTTGCTTTCCGTGCAACGAGCGGCACAGGTATCGCTGATAGCATCTGTGCCGGGGTACCATGCAGTCAACGCTCTCCCATCCCATCACCAGCAGAAGCAGCAGCAGAATCAGCCCCAGCAGCAGCAGCAGCAGCAGCACCAGCGCAACCACTGGGGGCACTTGGCGCTGAGACAGAAGCTCTCTTTGCATCGCTGCCTGCCGCCTTCCACCTCTTCCTCTTCTGCCGCTACTGTCTTGCAGGTACTACACCTTTATTGCATCACTTTAGAGATTTCTAGAAAAAGTTATATATATTTATATATATATGAACAGACATGCATATATATATATATATACATATTTATATACATGTTTCTGACATGCAATTAGGAGACATGTTGCTGCTGTGTTCCTCATCTCCTGCTCCTCTTCCTTCCTCTCTCCCTTCCTCCCTCTCTCCCTCCTTCCCTCAGGTGTCATCTCTCGGTTCTCTCTCGCCTGATTGGCTCTACCACCAATTTCTCCCCTCCCTCTCTCCTCCCCCTCCTCCTCCTCCTCCTATCCGTTCCCCCCCTAGTTCTCCTCATACTCCTTCTGCGAATCTTCCCATCACCAATGCTCGTGATGCCCTCCCCATGAAATCTCAGCAGCAGCAAATCAGCACGACAATAAAAAAACGGAACACCACCAATACAACAGCAACAACCAGCAGCAAAAACACACAACCGCCCACGCAAACCGCTGCGAACCCATCCCCACCCAAGCCGCTCATCGTGTGGCCGACACAGGAGGAGGTGCGGGAATCACTACAAGGGTACGCAGCAGGGGGCTCTATCTGCGGTCCTGCTAGGAACGTGGATAAGCCGTTTCTTGCTCCCCTGTGGTGCCCGTGGGGGGGCAGGGAGGCTGGGCGTGCACGAGCCATGCCCCACATGAAGACGTACTGTGTGGTGGAGGGAGGAGGGGAGGGAGGTGAGAGAGGAGGGGAGGGGCTGACCTCTGAGTCGACCCAAAAGTCGGCTGGGCGTGCAGGAGCCATGCCCCACATGAAGACGTACTGTGTGGTGGAGGGAGGGGGGGGGGAGGGATGGAAGAGGAGAGAGGAGGGGAGGGAAGATGGGAGCGGGGACGGGAGTGGGGACAGGAAAGGGGAGGTGGGGGGGAAGGGGAGAGGGGAGGAGGAGGGGGATGGAAGCAGATTAGGGGAAGGAGATGTGCCTGCAATAAGCACACCAAGGCTAGGGTATGCACACTCAGACCAAAGCTAGGGTATGCATACTGAGACTCGAGAACGAATACAAATCTTGAAAATGCATAGGTTTGGAAATCATATGCAGGCCTGGGGAAGCATACCCAGGCTCAAAATATTTACACTCAGGCTTGGATTTAGCATAGTTATACAAGTCTCACCATTTCACCTGTTTGCACCCCCCCTCACCCTCTTCCACTCTTCCCCACTCTTCCCCACTCTTCTAAGCTGTCTCACAGAACTCGAAACTTTCCTGCTATCTGCGTCCTCATTCTCTCTGTGGCCTCCCCGTTACACCAGATGGGTTCTTTTGACATCAGCCAACCTGAGTGCTGCAGCATGGGGGACAGTGCAGAAGGGCAGGCAGAGAGGCCAGCAGCAACAGCTGGTCATACGATCTTATGAGGTCAGATTAACTCAATGCTTATCACAGGGGATGCTTGATGCTTATCACCCTTGCTTGTTGACTTTACTGGACTAGAATAGCACTGGGGATCACTTTTGAGTCGACTCAAATGTTGACTGTTCTGGACTGTGATAGCACAGGGGGGTCAATATCAAAAGAAGAACCAGCAGACGCCTTTTGAACACTGTGAAATAACTTGGAAACGATGCATTTCCTCACAATTCTCTCACGCTCCTGTTCCTTTCTACTTGCCTTTTCATACTTCTTCATCCTCATCCCCATCCTCTTCTCATCCGCTTCTCCTCCTCTTTTCCTCCTCTTCTCCTCCCCTTCTCATGCTATCTCATCCCGTGCAATTCCATGCCTGCCGCGCAGCTGGGAGTGCTGTTCCTCCCCTGCCGAGTGAACGCCTTTATCCACCATCACGTGTTGAGGCACCACCACGCACTCACTCATGCACCTTCTTGTGTGCATGGGCTTACACGCACGCAGCAGCACCAGCAGCAGCACCACCACCACCAGCACCATAAGCAGCAGCACCTTCAAGCATCTCATCGCATGCAGCATGGGAGGTCCATGCACGGGCGTGCCATCGAGTTCGTTGCTGCCCCATGGAGCTTGTTGCGAGACACACAGGCGAAGGGTCGAGAGAAGAGGGGGAATAGTGGAGAGAGACGAAGGGAGCAGGACGGAGGGTGGAGAAGAGATAGGGATGGGGAGGGGAGGAGGGACGAGGACGGGGTGGAGAGGAGGGTGAGAGCGAGTGGAGTGGTGGAGGGGGAGGATGGGTGCATGCATGTGTTCTTCCCTCTACCGTTTGACCTGCCTCCCTCGCCTCTCGTCACATCTGCTGGTCAGTGCATGCTCGCTCTGCTCTTCATCTGCTCCCCTCTCACCCTTCCTTCCCCCCTCCCCTTTCCCCTTTCCCCATCCCCTCTCATGCCACAAAATTAGCCGGATTGCTATTGTATTTCTGCAACGGCTCAACAAAGCACACAGGCGTTCCTTTCCTCTTTCCTTGACCCTCTTCCCTCTCTCCTCTTCCTCTCCCATCTCCCCTTTCCCCCTCCCCCAGCTCCCAGGCAGCATCCATGGAGGTGGGACGTGCCGCACACGCAGCCGGATGTGTTTGGGAGGCACATCAACAAAGAACTCACAGCCTCTTCTCTCTCCCCTTTCCTTCGCTCCCCCTCCCTCCTCCTCCCCCAGCTCCAAGGCAGCACCCATGGAGGTGGGACGTGCCGCACACGCAGCCAGATGTGTTTGGGAGGCACATCAACAAAGAACTCACAGCCTCTTCTCTCTCCCCTTTCCTTCGCTCCCCCTCCCTCCTCCTCCCCCAGCTCCAAGGCAGCACCCATGGAGGTGGGACGTGCCGCACACGCAGCCAGATGTGTTTGGGGAGACGCATCAACAAAGAACTCACAGCCTCTCCCCTCTCCCCTTTCCTTCCCTCTCCCCGCACCCCTTCCCCCTCCCCCAGGCCCCAGGCAGCACCCATGGAGGTGGGATGTGCCGCACACGCAGCCAGATGTGTTTGGGGAGACATGGCCCTTGCAAGGAGCGTGAGAGGCGGATGCTGGTAGTGTGGTTGGCGGGACATGGCATCGCAGGCCTCTGCAAGGAATGTGAGGGGCGTCTCAAGACCCGCACAAGCAGCCGGATGTGTGTTTGTGCTGTGGAGTGGAGACATGGCCACTGCAAGGAAACATGAGAGGCGGGAACTGGATGTGTGTTTAGGGAGGACATTCAGCGGGTACTACATAGCTTCTGCATCTGCAAGGACAGCCTCCATGATACCTAGTGCAAGTGTTAACGGCTGCCAGAGCTTCTTGTTATGATTGCGATGCGCTGCTTCTGCACTTCATTTCAAAAAAAAACTCGCATCCTTCCGGCTTATGGTGGAGTGCAAAGCGTGCAGAACAAAGAGTACAGCAATCATTCAAACTATACATACAAAGGAAAAAGGTGTAATGGAAACAGCCAGGTATTGCGTGCAGAATGGCTGGCGGGCCAACTACCATACTGTTAAGTAGGTAAGTAGGCTTGCCCACCCCCGCCTCATTGCATCATGGCAGTAGGTGGTGGTTGTGCTGCTGATGCTGCTGATCTCAATCGAGGCCCATTGTCTGTCTTTCCCATGCCTGCTGCTAGCTCTGCATCCTCCTGACAATGCGGCTTCACCCCCTTGGCAAACTCCTTCGTCCTGAACACCCAGTGAGAGAGGGAGGGAGGACAAGTAGTCATAAGGGGCCTCAAAAGTGGCTATTCGGCTTCACCCCCTTGGCAAACTCCTATATCCTGCACACTCAGAGAGAAGCGGAGGGAGAGGGAGGGAGAGGGAGGGAGGAGGGAGAGGGAGGGAGAGGGAGGGAGGAGGTAGAGGGAGGGAGAGAGAGGGAGAGGGAGGGAGAGGGAGGGAGAAGGAGGGAGAGGGAGGGGGAGGGAGGAGAAGGGAGGGAGAGGGGGGAGAGAGAAGAGAGGGAGAAAGTAGACATGGTGTATAGATTCCAGTACATATCACCTCTGATGCTCAAAATGTTCGGGAAACTCCTTGGACCTGCAGAAGCAGAAATTTGACGCACATAAGTGCACATTTAAGGCACCGCAATAGACATGAAGCGCAATCTGTAACAGTCAAACAAAAAGGGCATGATCACGCGATGAAGCATGTCCCTGTTCCTGCCACGGTGGATGGGAGGAGAGCAGCATGGCATGGCAAGCCCACACGCAGGCATGCTAAACGGTCCTCCAGGCAACGAGACAGGGAGACCGTGTGACGTATGAGACACGGGAGCGTGACAACAACAACACCACACGCATGCAGGCATGTCAAGAAAAAGCCAAGCCCCTCCAGCCCAGTTACCACTCGCATGTCACCCCCGTACTGCAGTGAACTGCACATGCCAAACCTTAATTACAAATCGTTCAGCAATCACCTCTTGGCAGACATGATGGCACACCTCTCCCTCCCTAATTCCCCCTACCTCCGTTTCATTCTTCCTTCCTCCTTCCTCTTTCCTCCGTTTCTCTCTACCTTTTTCCTCCCTCCCTCCCTCCCTCCCTCCCTCCCTCCCTCCCTCCCTCCCTCCCTCCCTCCCTCCCTCCCTCCCTCCCACCATCCCGTCCCACCCTCCCACCATCCGTCCCTCTCTGCCACCATCCGTCCCTCTCTCCCACCATCCGTCCCCACAGTCCCGTTCATAGGCAATGCCACCGCACCTTCGTCTATGGAACTTGGACTTGTTGTGTTCCGCCTGAATTGCCGCCGACGCAAAGTACCGACTGAAATTATTAAAAATTGGGGGGGAAGAGAGGGGTGGGGCGGGGGCGGTTGGGGGAGGAGAGGCGTGGAGGAAGAAGGGAAGGGAAGGGAGAGCGGAGATGGGGGTGGAGGAGGCAGGGGAGTTGAGTTTTAAAGAGGCTGAGCAGACAGGGGAATGAATTAGTAGGTAAAAATATTCAAACAAAAACAGAAACATACAATGGCTGTGGAAAAACTTATCAAGCGGAGCAACCAAAGGGCTGAGTTGTAAAGGACAACTCATTGGATAAACCTAGGTGTCGACCTAAACCCTGAGCACGCTCTGCAGAATTCCGACCCCTCAGCACACTGCAGCCAAGTTACGCCAAGGAAATAGACAACCGAAACCCCGCAAAACCCGAAACCGCGAACCCCGATCCCGAGACTAAGTTATCGCACTACCAGCCCCAAACCTCGAGGACCTTCTCACAGATGGCGCAGCGGAAGTGCCCCGTGCGCGGCAGGTCCAAGCCTGCTGGCTGCTTATGCCCGTCAAACGCCTCTCTTCGTAAAACGAATAAAAGTAACAAGAATTACTATTATTATTGTTTAAAAACCCCTGATAAAACCCTTGGAGACCTACTCGCAGATGGTGCAGTGGAACTGGCCCATGCCCGGGAGGTCCTCGTCGACGGGCGGCTTGGGCACGTCCAGTCCCATCTCCTGCGCTATCGCCTGCCGCTGCAAGCTGTCGTACACTTGGTCGTCAGGTGGTTGGGCGAATCGTTGGCGACAACGGGTTTTGAGTTATAAGGAGGGAAAGGGTTTTACAGAACAGGAAGAGAATTTGGGATGGATGAAGAGTTGGGGAAGAGAATCGAAGCGGCAGGAGAATGGATGGGAGGAGAGGAAGGAGGGGTGGGATGATTGAGGATGGGGGGAAAGGAAGGAGAGGAAGAGGACGAAGGAGCCACGGAGGAGATAGGTTAAGGCGAACCGGGAACGGAGAACGAGGGAGAGGTTCACGCGAACCTTTCGTGGATTGAAATGCGTGAGAATCTAAAGAGCAACAGATGAGAGAAAGAAAGAAACAGAAAAAGAAGAAACGGAAAAGTAGAGCTTCGAGGTGGCTCAGAACGAAGGGGGGGTCAGTCAAATAGCGTTTTGAAGAGGATATCACTCTTAAGAAACGCCGTCCGCGCTGCCTGCTTCTGGACCTTGCAACGTCTCTTTCCGCCAGACCGGTTACTCGGACATTTAGGCATCGTATATAGTCAGAGCGCGCGGCTACGACGATGACAGACGACGACAACGACGGCTACGGCGACTACGACGACTACGGCGACTACGACGACGACCTATCGACAAGCTGGCGCGGACAAGACAGCGTGAGCACGAGAAAGGCCGGAATTGAGCAGGACAGGTGTAGCGAGAGGAGCGAAGTGGAACAAGTGACAGTGGGGTTGAAGGCCCAGAAACGAGTGGCACGAAGGAAAGAAGGAACTTGAGGCACGGTCGTTCTTGGATATGTTGTTCGGGGCAGGAGTCAAGAAAGGGGGTTTCAAATAATTGGAAAGGGAAGGGCAGGTTTCCAACTGCCCAGCTTCACGGAGCGCTTGTCACGATCATACGAGGGCGAAACTTGCCGGATTGGCTCTCGCGCACACGACTGGGTAACAGTCAGCTCTTGTGCGGTGACAGAACGAGGTTGATTTGCCGAACCTTCACGGTTACTGCCGATAACTCAAGGGCCTGAATGATTGCGAACAGGTTTGATCTCCATGAATTCCTTTCGGTGTAACAGATAACACTGTAGACTACATTACATTGCGTATGCAAACTGAACATTACTGTTTCCAGAACACAAGGCAATAGTTGTGTACAATACGGTATCACTATAGAAAAATCCCTTTCTTAGCATAAGCCCTACACTCCTAAGACCCCATGCTGATGCGCAGGCAGTAGAGCCAAGCTCGTGAGTGGAACAATGAGACACATCAATGTGCTGCTATACCTCGACATTGCACCCAGAGAAAGGAAGGCACGAGGGAGGTGATTGATAGGTAGTGGTGACAGGGGAGGTGCCACCTCTGCCACCTGTGTTGCCATGGACTGCTAATAAGCCGCAGTTCTTCGGCTGCTGTGCCACAGCAGCATGCCATGCAGGTAACATGATGCAATGAGTGGAAGTGATGAGAACAGTGATGCTGTGGGGACGGATGGTGACTGATGGTGGCATGAGGTGAGCCCCAGACAACCCTACTTCAGAGGAAACTGCACCACTAAAATAAAAGGTAAGACAGAAAAGGGGAGGCACGGAAGGGGCGAATCACACAGAAATTCCATGCAACTCTTACCACCATCCTCAGCCACCCTCAATCAACCAAGCCACCAGTTCGTGTATCACACACAAATCCACAACCCAACAACACCTGCCACAACCCACCAAGTCTTGCTCTCAGTAGCATCCAGCACGTTCAACCCCTCATCACCCTCCCCAACGCCTCGTAACTCCCCTCAACCCCTATCAAGCTCTGCTTCACGGCAGAGCGGCCAGCTGCAGAGGATCGTTCAGCAGAGGGCGGCTATCCAGGCACGTCTTTAAGCCGTTGCCCAGAGCAGCTGCCTTGGACACTAGCAGCGACGAGAGAGGGGAGAAGTGTGCCAGCAGTCCTGGCAGGCCGCCCTTAGCCTCTGACGCCTTGTTGACACCCTTGCCGTTGCCTCCCTTGCTGACACCACTGTTGCAGCTGCTGCTGGCAAAAACTGCAGATCGCGACGCCTTTGTCTCTGACTTGATGGTTTCTGCAACACAACAAGAGAAGCGCCAAGAGCAGAAGTATAAAAAGAGAGAAGCGATCCATATTTCAGTAAGAAAAATGACGACTATTGAGCCACTCAGCCTCAGTATCATGCATGAAAGAGGTGGAGGTGTGCAATCAACATGCAATAGCGAATCACGTACTCTTGGAGCCAGCCGGAGCAGCCTTCCTGGTCTTCTTCTCCGCCTTGAGCTCCGTTGCAGCCTTCGCCTTGCGAGATCGGCGGGACCCCGACGGCCACGTCGCAGCGTTCACCTGCTGCTGCTGCGACTGCTGCCCCTGCTGTGACTGCTGCGGCGCCTGCTGCTGCGGTTGTGCTGAGCAAGCCTGCACCTCCTGCTGCACCTGCTGCTGCTGAGAAGGTACCTTGGGGGACTTGGGAGAAGCGGGGGACAGTGCAATACCAGTTGGCATGCTGCACGGCCCCACCACAGGCACTTCTATTCTCACTGCGACTCCCCCAAGACCGGTTCCAGTTGCACCACCACCTGATACAGCACCAGGGACAGCGGCAGACGCTGGGGCAGCAGCCGTCACAGCCACCTGCTGCTGCGCGGCCCCCACGCCCACTGCCCCGGCCGCGACTGCCGCCAACGAAACCGCTGCCTGCGGAAGCGGCGCCGGCGGAGGCGCCAGCGCGAGCGCGGGCTTAGGTTTCTGCCAGTGGTGGCGGTGCGGCAGCCCGACGAGCTGCCTCAGCTGCTGGCTCGCCATTCCGCGCACGCGCATCCCGGTAGCCGCCACCGCCGCCGCCGCCGCCACAGCGCCAGCCGCCATAGCGGCGGAGAGCATTCCCAAGGGCCCGCCGGCCGCGCGGAAGACTGCGCCACCGCCGATGGCGGAAGCTTGGGGGAGGGCGCGGCGGAGAGCGACCATGGCGGAAGACTGCACGACGCGCGCCAGGCGCTGGTGCAGGCGGCCGGATTGGATCCCCACGCGGAGGAGAACGGCGGAGGAGAGGGAGGTGAAGGCGGCGTGGCAGGCGGTGAAAACGCGGTAGGTGTTTTCCTTCTCCAGGATGCGCTGGCAGATGATTATGATGGGGTCGGCGGGCTGCCAGGGGCGCGCACGCATGCGCAGGTCCATGTTGGCGCGGATCAGGCGCGCGGAGGCGCGGTCCACTCCGGTGGTGTGGTGCACGAAGGCGTCAACGAAATGCCTGGAAGAAAGTCGTAGAAAGTCGGAAACGAAGACAAAGACGAAGGAAGGGATCCGTGAACGAGAGAGGTCACTGAGTTGCCACAATAAAACTTCCAACGGTCTCAACGATTCCACGCGAAGGATCTGAAAACGAGCGGACGCTGAGAGACTGTATGGACGTTTCCACTCTTAGACTGCTACGAGGATTCGTGTGTGAGGGGGTTAAGGGGAGGTATCGGAAGGGGGAGTTCCCACCTGCAGTCGTTGCGGTTGAGGAGGTAGTTGAAGTCGAGCGAGTTGTAGAAGGCGCGCATGTCCGCGATCGACATGCGCGTCACGCCCACGCGCACCGCGGTTTCCGGCAACGCGCCGATCTGCGAGGGTCCAAAAGTACAGACGGGGGGAGGGGGGAGGGGAGAGGGGGGGGGGGGGGCCGGGTGGGGGAGGGAGGGGAAGGGGGGAGGGGAGGAGAGGAGAAGGCGAACACGAGAGAGAGTCAGGGGAGCGGAAGGAACGAATGGTGGTCGAGCAAGAACCTCAAGGCGATGAGGGGAGAAACGCAAGAAATGAACAGAGAAGAGAAGAACAAGGTCTCCAAGCACAACTTCGTGCGACCCCAGCTCCAAGGCCTCCGAAAGGTTAGGATCGGCCTGGCGCGTACCAGCTCTTCGCGGATCTCGCCGTTGGGCGGTGGAATCGCGCAGTCCGCGAGGTCCATCTGGTGGAGCGTGAGGCTCGCCATGCCGCTGCCGTGCCCGCCGCCGTGCTGCAGCAGCGCGTTGCACGCCAGGCCCTGCAGTCCCAGCCGCTGCGCCTGCTGGCGTAACGAGTCGGAATCACCGCAGCCGCAGCTGCTGATCCGATCCATGCTGCTGCTGCTGCTGCTGCTGCTGCTGCTGCTGCTGCTGCTGCATCCCTCTTTGCAACTGCGGTTAGTAGTAGAGGGGGTAGTCGTGGTGGCAGTGGTAGTGGAGGAAGTGGAGATGGCAGTGGTGGTTGGCTTGCTGTTGCTCATCGTGCATTGCAGCAGTTGATCTCGCCGAAAACTTCCCGTGTTGCTGTTTCCAGCGCCGTTGCTGCTACTGTTGCTGTTGCTGCTGCTGTTGCTGGCCGGCCGCCATTCCACATCCTTGCCGCGGGGTCCGAAATCGAACTGGATCAGCTGACCCTCTGGGGATCGGATTATCGCCATGTAATGGCACAGGCCCGCATCTCGAAGCTCGTTCTGCGATCAAAGACGGTTGAGAGAAATACAGGATGGTCATCTATTGAGGAAAGGAAAGAGAAGGAATCGATAGACAATACGGCGATCCGTGCACTGGACATAGAAGGGTAACAAAAAAGAAAACGCAGAACACAACAGACGACAGCCTATTTGGCAGGGGTAGCAGATCCGCAAGATTGGATGAAAATAGCGCGACGCTCAAGTAATTAGCTCCTGCTATACTAATCTAAGGATGGCGTCTTAAAGCCATGACGAAAGACGTTGGGATCTGCCTGAGGAGATCATAGCGAAGAACCGATCGCGTGCGAAATCGCAACAAACACTGACTATATCTAAGGGGGGCTGCTATTTCGTCCTCTCAGGTCCACGGAAACGCGATCTAAGCTTGCAGACCCACGATTAATACGTTAACTGACCGGGAGTGACAATGATGTGCCACGGTGGGACATATCCAAAAGAACGAGAGCAAGTTACCTTGACCGTTGTGGGTAGCCTGTGGTAAAACTGGCCGCTTAGCTCACGCAGGCCTCTGTAGCACATGAAGACCTCCCATTCGGTCTGAGACAGATCCATTCCACTCTGAGCCAGTTGGCCCTGGCTCAGCATGCTTTCTGAAGTTAACATTGCGTCCGGTAGACCCACGCCGAGTGAAAAAGGACGCTTGAATACTGGCTGGATGCTAGAAAGAGCGACTAATTGTAGACGACGTTGCTGAAAGAAGGCTCGCGTGAGGGGCGGAATAGACTCCAATAGGCTCCTCTCAACACGACGTGATGTTCGCGATCTCGATCAAACCCTCGCAAGAGGATTGGAGAAGGTTTGACGGCATGAGAACTTTAATCGTCGGTCTTATCACGGAAATGTGATCACAGGTCAAGCAGCAGTTGCAATCGGAACCAACCAGGCAATACAGTAGGACACAGGAATATTCCCCTCCACACCAGCCCCCCTTGAATGGCGCTGCTGGTATATCTTGCGCCTTCCCAGCAAGACTGGCAAGGCCAAGAAAAAACTGCAGGCTTCTAGGGGCTCTTGAATGGGTCGGATGGAGCAATGGCCTGGCCTGCGGACTGCGGAGGGTGGAGTGGAGTGGGAGCATGAGGGAGAGATTGGGGGTGCAAGGGAACGGGGAGGATGGGGCAAGGCAACCACCAGGACAGGAGGCGAACACAGGCAGGCGAGCAGGGCCTTTCGCTTTCGCTTTTCCCTCCCGCTGACTTGCCCCGTCGCGGCTCTGGTCTGGCAACCAGCGCCGACCAGCACGCTGGAGCAAAATGGAGCAGACCGCCGAGCCGAGCAGTCTGCTTGCGCACTGCGCGCATGGGTTGTGCCGGTTGGCCCGGGGCAGCGGAGCAGAGCAGGCACTGTGCGGAAGGACCCCCCCCGTCCCCCTGGCCACTACTGTACAACCCAACCAGAAGAGTGACGGTCGTGGAAATCGAGGGCGCGCGAGCCGTTTGCTGTTGTTGCGCAAGAAACCAGCTCTGTCTCGCCGACAGCCAATCTCCTCAATCGCCATCTCCCGCTTCACGGTACGCCCCTCCAGATTGGTGGACTTGACGGAGAGTCTCATGTGGCGGGGTCGGTCCTTTTCCGCTCGATTCCTTCCAGAAGTTCTCGCAAACGGACATGCGCGGGAGGTTTCCCGCGCTCGAGGCTGGAGGTTGACTGGGGGGGGGAGGCTTGCGCTTTACGGCTGTGCCTCGGGGGTGCCTCCCCGGATCCCGAGGTCAATTGCATATGTCTCCGCTCAGCAAGTGGTCGCGGAAGCCGAGTTGAATGACACTGGCCTCGCGGAGCTGTGATGGCGGTTGTGGAGGGAAAAGATTCCCAACAGAGAAAAAGCGGGAAAGGACAGAATCAGTTAGGCTCGGCGTTAGGCTTGACGTGACTCAATGGACCAATTGGAGCTTACCTTGGGCATCCTGGAAGGTCGTTTGGCTCACACGCGTGCTGTGACCCTTGACGCGAAGGTTTGCCACAAAGCAGAGGTTTCGGCTCGGGATTCAAACATTGCCTCGCTGGCGGATTCCATAGGCGTGTGGTGTGGTTGCAATCAGCATCATCTCCAACGCTTTCGTGCGATTCCGACAGGTGTGGATTCCTCCGCCAAGTAAAATTATATCTATTGGCAGCGGCACCCAGCATCTGGGTAAGGCGAGAGCTCATTCGCTGAAGTCTCGTTATAATGGGCGTTCATTTGCCACATCACTCTCGGAAAGTGCCACGCCCCAGGTACGAGGACAGGTGGACCAAGTATTGTGGCTTTATGTGCGGAAATCTGGGGCGCAATTGTGTCTGACACGCTTTATTGTGTCAAAGCGTTCAGCCAATCCCAGTTGTCGGTAGAAGTCCTTGTCCTGCAGTGCCCATCACCTTCAGTCACCTCGTTTTTCAAGATGCGTAATGAATTTATACAGCAATCCAGCTCATTTACTGTTGACAGTAAGAGAAGTAAACCACTTTACAAGTTGATGTTCTAAATGTTGTATAATTGATGCCTGTTTGAGCCCCTCCCGGTTGCCTTGTGAAAGGGGGTGTATAAGCTGTAACGAGCATTTCGCATAAGTTTCGTCAATTCGCAGCTAGCTAAAAAGGATTCGCATGTGCTTATAAACAAGATCTGTTACCTTATCCGTTGACATTTTGACTTCAGTCTCTTCTGCTTGACTTCGGTCTGTTCGTTACTATTGGTTGATAACCATGCGACACGCTTGTAACGTAGGTGCAACAGGCTGGGGAAACAACCTCGGGTGTGTTAGAATCTAGCAGCAGGAATGACTGAACTAACATGTTGCAGGAGTACAAGTAGTAAACCCTAATTGGGTTGTACCCCATATGGGCTACCCCACTACAGCCTAGACAATATGCAGCACATATAGTTTGACACACCCCCATAGGCAAAGTGGGGGAGAACAAGAGGTCACACGACCAGTCAAGAGAATCAAAAACAAGCTCCGGGTGGATCACAACGTCACCACGCATTCCGAGCACAAGCAAAGGGCCACAGGGCCAGTTCACATGCAGAGATATATATGCAGCAATAACAGTACAGTGATGGCTACCTAGCAAGAGCCAGCATGCATATATATATATATGTACAGATCACAGTACAAGCAGAGACTACAGCAAGTGTGGAAACGTAGGCACAAGGCCTAACAGAGTACAAAAGCGCTGATGATCACCAGACGGAAGTGCCTTGGTGAATATATCAGCAGTGTTGGCCCGAGTGGCCACGTGGCGAAGACGAAGCTGGCCTCGCTGCTGCAACTCTCGAGCCAGGAAGTACCGCAGAGCAATGTGCTTCGTTCTGTGCTCCAGTCTGTGCTCCTCACACAAGGCAATGGCGGCCTTGTTGTCAACGTACAGCACTGGAGGAGAACGAGGCTGCTCTCCCAAGTCAGTCAGCAGGTAGGTGAGCCAGCGTAACTCCTGTGCAGCCATGGCGGTGGCGTAGATCTCAGCCTCACAACTGGAGCCGAGAACTGAAGACGAGCGTGTAGAACGCCACGAAACTGAACCAGAGCCAAGGCTGAAGGTGTTGTTAAACTGTATTATGCTTGTAGGCTGTAGTGGGGTAGCCAATATGGGGTACAACCCCAACTAGGGTTTCATATTTGTACCCAAACTTCTGCTAGTTCAATCATTCTTGCCTAGCTATTCTGAAATGGTATTCAGAGCAGGAGGTCCCTAGGACCTACCGACCGTTTTTTTTTTTAAGGGCCCACCACCGCTCGCATGCGGTTACCACGCTACCCCGTGCCCTAGCCTCGTAGCGCCCTCGTGCGCCCTCGTTAGCGCCCTCGCGCGCCCCTCGTTAGCGCCCTCGCGCGCACCCTCGTTAGCGCCCTCGCGCGCCCCTCGTTAGCGCCCTCGCGCGCCCCTTGCTAGCGCCCTCGCGCGCCCCTCACTAGCGCCCTCGCGCGCCCCTCGCAGTGTCGCCCGCCCGCCGAGCCGCCCGCTCGCAGCCCGCTCGTCCTGCTGCCCGCTTCGCAGCCCGCCCGCCCGCTCGCTGCCCGCTTCGCGGCCCGCCCGCCACGCAGCCCGCCCGCCCGCTCGCTGCCCGCTTCGCGGCCCGCCCGCTTCGCAGCCCGCTCGCTCGCTGCCCGCTCCGCGGCCCGCCCGCTTCGCAGCCCGCTCGCCCGCTCGCTGCCCGCTTCGCGGCCCGCCCGCCCGCTCGCTGCCCGCTTCGCGGCCCGCCCGCTTCGCAGCCCGCTCGCTCGCTGCCCGCTTCGCGGCCCGCCCGCTTCGCAGCCCGCCCGCCCGCTCGCTGCCCGCTTCGCGGCCCGCCCGCCTCGCAGCCCGCTCGCCCCGCTGCCCGCTTCGCGGCCCGCCCACTTCGCAGCCCGCCCGCCCGCTCGCTGCCCGCTTCTCGCCCCGCCCGCTTCGCAGCCCGCTCGCCCCGCTGCCCGCTTCGCAGCCCGCTCGCCCGCTCGCTGCCCGCTTCGCGGCCCGCCCGCTTCGCTGCCCGCTCGCAGCGCCGCCCGCCCGCCCGCTACCTGCTTCGCAGCGCCGCCCGCTGCCTCACTGCCCGCTTGCTGCGTCCCCTCTGCTGCTGCCGCTGCTCTGCTGTGCCCTCACGCCTGAGCTATGGCCTCTATTCGCGTTCTTTCCTTCGATGCTGAGGGCCGTCCCGTGCAGTTCACTTCCTGGCTCGACGACCTGCAGTTGTATCTTATGAGCAATAGCACGGACCACATCTCCCTCTATGACTACGCGTCTGGTGCTGCCGCTGCTCCTGCTGCCACAGCCGAGCTTAGTGTTCGTTCCCACTGGCAGACTCGTGACGCAGCTGCTCGCCTAGCCATTCGTAGTCACCTGCCGCTAGCTGAGCTCGAGCATTTTGGCGACTGCAAATCAGCTAAGGCCCTGTACGATGCTGTCGTTGCTCGCTACTCCTCGCCTGCCACAGCCGAGCTTAGCCGCCTCATGCTGCCGTACCTGTTCCCCGATCTGTCCACCTTTACTACAGTCGCCGATCTTATCACCCACCTTCGCACTAGTGATGCTCGCCTGCGTGCCGCCCTTCCCACCGAGTTCTGCGCTAAGAACCCCCCTCCACTGTACTGGACACTCCACTTCATAGTCACCCGTCTCCCTGACACCCTCCGCTCAGTTCGAGACCACTTCCTTGCTCGCTGTCCCACTGAGCTCACAGTCGCCCTCCTAGAGGAGCAGCTGCTCGCGGCCGAAAAGAGCATTGTAGCTGTTGGTGCTGCTCGTGGCGCTCCTCGCACCCCCATCTTTGAGGGGTGTTCTCCCTCTCCCCTCGCTCCCTCCTACGCTGCTGCTGCTGCTGTTGACTTCCTTGGTGCTGAGTCTGTTGGCGCTGCTTCTGCTCCTGGTGGGAGGCGCCGCACCGGCAAGGGCAAGGGGGGCAAGGGTGGTGGTGGTGGCGCTGGGGGGGGAGGAGGTGGGGGAGGTGGGGGGGGAGGCGGTGCTGGAGGGAGCGGTGGCGGGAGCGCTGGTGGGAGTGGGGTCGGTGGTGGAGGCGGGGGCGGCGGCGGAAGCAGTGGCAGTAGTGGCGGCGGCGGCGGTGGCGGCGGTGGCGGCGGTGGCGGTGGTGGCGGTGGCGGTCGGAGCGGTGGTAGTGGTGGCGGCGGCGGTCGGAGTGGAGGCACTGGCTCGGGCCAGAGCTCCCAGCAGCAGCAGCGTCCCCAGACGACCCAGCAGCTTCGTGAGTGGCTTGCTCAGCGTGGGACGTCGGGGGGCAGTGGCCGCTGTTCTTATGTCATTCGCACAGGTGACCGCAAGGGACAGACGTGTGGGAGGTTCCACACCCCGTACCGCTGCTTCTCCCGCCTTGACGACGCTTGGCGTGAGGAGATGGGCGCGGATGTTGAGCGCCCCCGCTGGGCTGAGCTCATGAGGGCTGGTGTTGATGTCTTTGCTCTTGACTATGATGCTATTATTGCTGCCATGTATGCATTGACTGTTAGTGCCGAGGGAGACTGTTACTTGTGTGTGCCGCCTGACCCAGGTATAGAGCCCGCTGCCCTGGGTACTAGTGAGTCTGCTCTCTCTGGTATGGTGCCCCCTGTACTTGCTCCCCCCAGTGCTGTCCTGGCTGGTTTCGAGTCTGCTCTCTCAGGTACAGCACCCACAGAGACTGCTCTCTCAGGTACCGCACCGGCTGAGGCCTGTCACACCTTCACCCTTGACTCAGGTGCTTCCCGTTGCTTCTTTCGTGACAGTACTGAGCTCACACCGCTTCCTGCACCGGTCCCAGTCTCCTTGGCTGACCCCTCTGGGGGCCCAGTCCTTGCCCAGTCCACCACTGTCCTCCCTTGTCCGGCGGTTCCGTCTGGCTCGTTGTCGGGTTTCCACCTCCCCTCGTTCTCGACGAACCTGGTGAGCAACGCTGTCCTCCAGGATCAGTGGGTTGACACCTTTACCCCTGGCGGACAGCGTGTGGCGATCTGCACGTGCTCCAGGACCGGCCGTCACCTGGCTACGTTTACCCGTCGGCCGGGGTCGAGTCTCTACACACTGACCACTGCGTCTCCTCAGGTCGCTGCTGTCGGTCAGGTGTCTGCGTCAGGTCTGGTAGCCCACGCCTGTGAGTGTCGTTCC